ATCCGTGGAAGAAGACTAGAGAGAGCTGCTTCACATCGCCTGCCTCAGAGAGTCAATAATCCTTCAGACCTTCAGATGCTGCAAGATGCGAACTCGGCGGCAGCAGCTCTTTCTGCCGCACTGGAGACAGCCTCGCCCCCGGTATCTACCGCACCTGCACCCCCGCGCTCAGTCCCCCATGCTGAAGTCAGACAACACAGTGTGGACAGTGTCACTAATTTACATACTGCAAGCCCGGAGAAGAAGCCACGCCTATCTACCACTTCCAAGATGCCACAGGCTACGCACCATGCCCCCCAGTTTGGTAGTGATAGAGATAGGTACCCACCTCTCTTTCATGGAGGAGGAGCTTATGTCACTGACATGGGCAACCCGCAACAGCCACTAGGACCTGGAACCCATCCTCGCCCAGCTCAGGTGCCTACTTCATCTGGGCATGTAAGCTGTGGTGTAAGCCCCGCCCCTGTAGCGCCAGTTCCTGCTGCAGTGACGAACGTGCCTGAGCACTACGACCTTGAGGCGCCTTCCTGGGTTAACGGACTCAGGAGTGAGCTCAGGGAGCTCGTAACTACTCAGAAAAGCATGGCCCACCAGATGGAGGAATCGGGTCGCAACCTCAGAGCGCTCCAGGCGGATATTCGACACCTGGGGACAGGACAAGAGGACCTGTCACGTAGAGCAGATGCACAAGACGCTTCTCTTAGACAGATGCGAGAGGAGATGAAAGAACTGGAGAGAGAGCTTGCTGCGGTCAAGTCCGCCCCCCCTTCGCGCTCGGTCAGCCCAGCACCTAACAGAGCCCCCAACAGAAACACCTACTCGACAGGTGGGGGGGCCAGCACGGGAGGACAATCGGATGTTGATGAACTACAAATTGTTATAGGTGGGTGGAACGAATGCAAGCGTGACGCCATCGAATCAGATGTCCGTGAGATGTTCAGTAGGATGGACGGCAGTGCTCTGATTCGGCAAATTCACGTACCCTATGTGCGATGTGGGTACTGCAGGATCGAGATTAACTACCCAGAACCCGACATTTGGAAACAGAGGAAGCTCCAAGGGGTCATCGTTCTCGCACTTAAGGACCTGAAGTTTGTTTCCTCAACTGCAGGGCAACAACACTGTACGTTTTGGGCAGCTCGGAATCGTTCTATACAGGAGAGAGCGAAAGTGAGGGCTGTCCTGTCTACGTATGACTTGTGCGTTCGACATGTTGGGCAAGGGTGTGCTGATAGGGATTGGCGGGGCAAAGTTTGGGTAGGCAATGTACAAGTCCTTCACCACGTGGAGTCCAGGCCTCGCAGGGACAATACGCTGATGCTCGTTGATGCGCGGGGGAATGAGACGGGTTGGTACTTGGACCTGGACCAGATTACGGTCTGCCTTGGCATTGAGAGAGACAATGTCTTAGCGCACTTCGGTGCGCTGTAGGGAGTCGGGAGGGAGAGCCAACAGGGGGGGAGCACACCGCTCTCCCTGAGATGCTACACATGGAATTTACACGGGAAGGGGACACAACATGTGTCCACACTCATGCATGGCCTTGAAACACCGCCTGACATCATGTGCCTGCAGGAGGTTGGAGATGTTCGGAATCTGGCAGAGGGCTGCGCTAGGGTGGATACAGAGTTGATTGCTGGGAGAGAATACCAAGTTTTCCTCGCCAATCCTGCACTCAGCCATAGATGTTCGGCGGTTCTGGTGTCACTGGACAGCGAATTTATACATAGGCATGTGCATGTGCATGAATTTGGAATTTGTGTTTCAGGCACCATGCATGACACGTCATGGCTACTTGCGAGCCTACATTTCCCGCATCAACAAAGGCGAGATGCATTGGATGCATGGGAGCAAGGAGTTTCAAGCCTTAGGTCTTCGCTTTCGGGGCTTCCCTGGGCCACGAATGTGATTTTGGGTCACGACTTGAATCAGGATTTGCACGCAGAATTGGATGAATTTGGAGGCATGCTACACTATCGAGAGATGGTTTTTCGATCAGGGCTTCACACAAGCCCCCCTTTGGGGCCCACCTGGATTGCGCGTGGGAGCTCTTCGGCTATTGACTTTTTTCTGCATCAAGTTCGTGGGGCCGAGCTGCACTTCTATAAGAGGGAGGACTTAAGGCTGGCCCTTCCCTCAGACCATAATGTGATCTGCATGGACATCAAGTTCCGAGGGCGCGCCAACAGGACGTTACGTAAACGTCCCCCCCGCACGTTGTGCGGTAAATGGGCGGTTGCAGTTGATGAGCTTTGGAAGCAAGTCGAGCCGATAAGTAATTGGGACGACGATGTCGTTTCGAGGGCCTTTCGTGCATCGGGGGTGAGTAGTAGACCGCCCTCCCTCAGATATGTGGATCCAGACACAATCAAGGACCTTATCCGGTCACGTAAGGCCTGCCAGGACGAATGGCAGCGTGCTGCCCTCATGCAAGAAATCCATCAACAGCGACTTGAGGCACGGGCAGCTCACAAGGAGCACCTCCTCGCGGAGGCTCGCAATGGCAACTGCCGAGCCATTGCCCATATCAGGGCTTCGGCCATAGGAGGGCAATCTGAAGGCTCTTACATCCAGAGGTGTGGGGGATTAAGGGCTGCATCTGAAGCACTCTTTTCGTTCTATGACCGGAAATATGCTACCTCTGAGCCCCAGCTTACGAATGCGCAGGCTGCAGCTATGTCAGCTAGGCATTCACTTCATGAACCTGCGCCCGTTACGCAAGAAGAGATCCTTAAGGCTCTCGTCGGCACACGACGCGGGGTAAGCTCAGGACTCGATGGGGTTACGTATGAGGGCATTCGGTATGTTCTGCAGCAGGACAAAAAATCCCGTATTCCGCACTACTTTACGGCTTTGATTCAGGGCCGCCAAGAGCTCCCTGACTCTTGGCGACGGGGCAAGATAGTCCTGCTAGCCAAGACACCGCGGCCGGCCCAACCCAAGGACTTGCGGCCGATCTGCCTCACCCCTGTCCTTTGCAGGGTCTTCTCTAAGGTCCTCATGGCTCGGGTGCATAGGCGGGCTCCCGCGTACTCTGGGCACCAGATTGGCTGCAGGCCAGGAGTCCAGGCGGCAGACGGCATTATGGCCGCGCAATCAACATTGCAGTTGTTGCGACAAACCAAAACTAGAGCTTTTGCGGCTAAGATCGACATTCGCGCTGCGTTTGATAGCCTCAGTCAAGCTGCCGTTTTTCGGTGGCTCATGGCCTGCGCCCCCAGCATTGAGTGTGAACGACTTTTTCAGCTGTTGCAGGGTACATCGGTGGAGCTTACCCTCGGGGGGGAGACCCATAGAGTCTCCCTTGACCGAGGACTTATGCAGGGAACGGCGTACTCCGCTGACGTTTTCAGTAGGGTCATGGATTACTTCTTAGCCCCGTTACATGAGGTGTTTTCGCGACAGTTCAGTGATTGGGATGAGCACTGTCTTTCGTTGCCACATTTCATCATTTATGCGGACGATATTGTGGTGTTTGCAGAGACACCTGCTGCACTGCAGAGTAAGCTCCAACAGATCATTGATGTGTTGGCGACGATAGGCCTGGAGGTGAACCCAGACAAGAGTTGCGTCATGGCCTCGCATGATTGCTGTGTGCCTGGCGTCTTCCTCAGGGGAAGGGGGCTGCCTTTGCAGTCTCAGGACTCCCTGGTGTTCTTAGGCGTGCCATTGCATCACTCGCCTAATCCCCAGTTGATCATCACGCACCTGCTACGCAAAACAAGCAATGCGTACTACGGGTTTAAGAGGATCATGGATGCAGGCCAGGCGCCTATCGTTACCCGTCTGCACATCTTCAACACTTTCATTACTTCCAAATGGGCGTGGGCGGCTCCCCTGCTTATGCCCAATGCCCGAGCCTTACGACGATTGGAGGCGGCTAAGAACACGTTCTTGCTATCATTGTTCCGGCTGCCCACTGACCCCCTCATGAGCTGGGTTGAAAATACCATCACACGCAGAAGGGCAGTGAAAGTGATATGCAGACAGAACGGTGGGCCTGACTGGCGCAAAACCTGGCTGTTGCGACAATGGTCCTATCTTGGTCATCTTGCCAGGACCCCGCATTTGCAGCCCATGATGCGTATCCTTAAAGCCTGCGGCATGTCTTCGGCGGTAAGACCTGTACCCCGTCCTTCATGGCTTACAGACCTTCTCATTAGGAGAGTACAGCGAGTGTATCAGACATGGCCATGGGCCACAATGATTCCAGCATGGGAGGCTTTTGCGCAGGATCGGATCCAGTGGGCTAATCACGCCTCCTGGTGGGTTTCGCACTGGGTCCAGGATGATGCGGTTCCCTCAATCGAGTACCTTCAAGAGAGGCAGGTAATCATCCTGAGAGGCAAACAAGGGATCCTTGATTGCTTCCTTCGCCCTGCTAAGGACTTTACTGAGGTGCCCTATACGACACCACTTGCAGTAATCAAACATGGTAAAATGCCTGGCTCGTTTGTGTGGGGGAAAGCTGAGCTCGGCAGATGTGCGGTTGTAGTTTCGCTGAGTTCGAACCCCAAACAAGCTTTCGTTGTTCATACTATGGCAAAAGACTGCTCGCTGCAATCCATGAGCGCGTCAGTACTTAGGCTGGCCTGTAAGGTTAGGGGCATCCTGCTCCATTTTGGGGTCCCTTGTCGAATTTTCATGGGGGCTCACCTGTTGCAGCGCACTGTCTTTCATGGGCACGTCCCTCTGACCTTGCTCGCTGATTCGACTGAGGCACTCGACTTGCTTGATTCACAGGGCTTGGATTGCCTTGCTTTGCCGCCACTCTTTAAACCGCACTCTCCATGGTTGGCATTGCATGACTCAGTAACGATGACGGCAGTACACACCAAGTACCTTGTACGTAGCTTGGACTTCAGTGCAGCGTTCTTCTGTACAGGGGCACAAGAGCTGGCAGATGCTATGCATAGGATCAAGCCCGCACCGCGTGCCCCTCAGCTGCCATTGGCTCCCTAATTACCCTATACTCGGCTCCCCGTGTGGATACTGCTATCCATGGATGTTGAACAGCTGGCGATGAACGCTCTTGAACAGACGGAGATCGCCTATGTCGATGTCTCTCGGATATGCGAGCGTCTTCTACAAAGTGTTGGTGACACGTGCTTCACATGTGGAGCCTTTGTGAGGATCAAAGCTGGCCTCAGAACGTCCACAACAAGCTATCCTATGACGACTAGACTACTGGCTCGATTCCTGACAGAGGAGTTCCCGGGAGACAGTTTCCTGACGGCGCAAATTCAACTAAACCGACGAGTGCAGCCACACAAGGATAGCCAGAACTCGTGCTTGCCCTCGCT